TAAAGACATACACTCTGAAAACAGCGTTTCAAGCCATTTAGAAAGAAAGTCAATTTCAAACTTCGCTTTCCTTAACTTCTTTCAGTGAGCTTTCTTTCTAAACTTCTCATCAGTTGGTCACTCAGACAGAAACGAAAGTTTTGTGGCTAATGGGGCTCACACTCGAACCCCCAATCCTGATTTACATACGGGGAGCCGTTTTCTGGGAACCTTGATTTCTATTGGTTCTCTGGCCCACCAATAAGGTTGCGAGGCCAATGGGGCTCATATTCGAACTCTCCACCTCGAAATACCTACTGGAAGCCTTTTCCAGAAAACTCGATTTCTATTGGTTCCCTGACCCACCAATCAGACACCGGACAAACAGACGAATTTCCGTTGTGAAGACTCATCCTTTCAGGATTGAGAATAAATGCGTATCTGTCTGCTAGTCATGCGAAATGTTGATTTCTACTATTGTTTTTGTTATTCTAAAACATAGGCGGCGGGCCCATTATGGTTGAGGAGGCTCAAGTCTCCCCTAAGAACGGAGAAGAAGGCTTAGGGAGGTTCTTTTAATTTGCAAAAAGTTGTAGATCTCATCTTTAACGTAGGCACGATTGGCAAATTTTCGATCGATTGTTCTTTAATACTTAGTCTATTGCTCATGAAGATTAACAAAATGATGAAAAGAACTACTAAAAAGGCAAATACGGCGCAGAATCTTGATTGGTTTTCATTATTTTATAAGTTTTGAGAAAAGTAGAATCAGAAGTAAATTATCAACAGACCATTTATTGGTTCGAGATTTTTTTGTTTTTAGTTTCACCTCTCATCATCCTCATCCTCTGAAAAAACATTTTGAGCCTCCCCTAGATTGAAATCGTTCCGCCACCGTTGTTCTAAAATCATCTAATATAAAATACATAGTGTGGCATGATTGATAAGAAAGTGGAGCAGCATTGCGTGTTAATTTACTTTAATGTGCTGGCAGATATGTGTCAGAAAAGTATTCGCGCGATAGCATGCTTGCCTATTATAACCGAAAGAGTTTTTTCTGTAGGCATTAAGAACGTTCCACTGAAAGAATTTAAAAAGTTCTGTAAGAAAAAAGAGTGAATAACCCGCTTGTAATTGTTTTCGACAACACCAACTGATTTATTTCACACACAAAAAAAACTTTCAAAGGTACTGTTATGTTAAATAAAGCTTATCCATTTTATTCGATATCTATATTTGTATGAGCTCATTAACATTATATTATTTTTTATATATAAATATGTCCTAGTCATTTTCACATATGTCACATGCAGAAGAGTAGTTGTAAATCTTCACATTCGTCTTTTCCCCCAATAGTTGTGTAACGGTTCTGTTTAGAAAATAAAAGATAAAATAGTAGACGATAAGAGCATTCATTATATTATCGACAATTAGGAGAAGTTAAAACATAATTTTTATTATAATTGAATAATAAAATGCTAGCATTGCTAAGGTTTATTATAAGCAGAATTGTTTGATAAAGGAAAGAAAGAAATTTCACATTGCTTACAATTTTTTCTTTCTGGAGGTAGCAACTTTGATTTAGATCTAATTTCTTAACTAACCATGTAGTAGTTATGATTACTTCAATATTTTTCAATAAATTCATTCTAGAATTCATTCAATTGTCATATGTTATTTTTCTTAGTTGACACCCATTTATATTATCTTGTTAATTTAGAAATATAATAATATATTCAGATATAGCATTCAACACAAGATGCTATGCATTTTTATCGAAGAACTCGATAATAAGAAGTAGCATTAGAAGTATTAAAAAAAAGAGCCTTACTTCATTTCATGTGGTGTACAAAATGAAGCCTTTATTATGTTTTTCTTACTTCTTGTGGATCGTGTTCAATACCATATATAAGTCGCAATAGACACTTCATATATTTAAATACAGTGCGTGATAATGACTTCTCAATCCAACAGACATTATCCTTGGCATATGAACATCAAAAAATGAGGATAACAAAATAGTCCGAGTAAATAGATTGATTCATTATTTAATTGCAACACGAGAGAGTAACCAAAAGTTTAAATGAAATATTTCATTTAGCTCTTAATTAAGAGAGAGTTCGTTTAAATTATCATGTAACTATAAATAATTCCATATTTTTAGAGAGAGAGAGAGAGCGACAGAGAGAAGTAGTCAAACTCAATTCATATCTGGAATAAAAAACTAAACATTTTTTCAAAATAATTTTCAAGAAATTATTCTCTTTTATTTCCTTTCATATATAGAGTCATCTGGAGTAATTCGGATCATAATTTTGAAAACTCATTTTGTTTTTGTTCCTTCTCAGTCATCTTGCATTGCACAATGATGATTTTTTATTACTACTTGCTCAAAGTGTCCTCTATCGAATCACGAAAGAATCATCAAAAAATATTGTACTGGTAAAGCGTACTAGTCAAAATGGTAAAAGTAGCATGGAGTGATCGGAATTATCCCAGATAGATTTTCAATTGATTGATAGAAGTGTTCTTGTTGTGAGTATTATATTATAACTGTCGCTTCAACCGTCAAGATGATTTCAGGTCCCATAGAGAACACTTAGGGCCATCGAATGGTATATTTGCTTTTTACAACTTCGAATAAAAAAAGGAGTTACGAAATCGGGAAAATGAGTCCAGCCATTTTTGCTGTAGTGATCCGAATTATCCCACATAGATTCATAGAGTGGTCTGAATTACTCCACATCGGGTGATTCGAATCAGCTCCACAGCACTTTCGCCATTTTTGCTGATACTTTTACCGGTATAATATTTTTTGACGGCTCTTTCGTGATTCGATCGAGGACATTTTGAACAAGTAGTAATAAAACAAAAAATCATAATTTTACAATGCAAGATGACTGAGACGGAACAAAAACAAAATGAATTTTTTAAAATTTTGATCCGAATTACTCCAGAGAATTCTATATGTCAATCTATCAATTTTATAACATTTCTTTACTATGAGAACAAATTTAAGGAAAGCATTTGGTGTAGAACACTATAGGGAATATATGATTTATTGATAAAATCTGTGAGATTTTTTTAAAAATTTCTATCGAATCGAATCTTTGTGTATATAAGATGGCAAGTTATTAATTTCGTGCTGAATATGTACACACTTTCGAGAAAAATTATTTTCATCAAACTACTATGGTCGAAAAGGATCGTAACTATATTCTACTTTAGTCATCTCCTAATATACATAATTAGATATGTATTCTTCGATTTATTTGAAAATATACTCAAAAACTGATTTTATAAATAAAATAACTGACTTGTCTACAATCAGAGCATCAAAGAAGATAATTAGAAATCTGAAATAATTGACATTTTTCCCCTTGAAAATTTATAAAATTCTTTCGAATATTTCCCTTGTGCTTTAATAAATCATGAGAAAAATTTTTTTTTAATTAGAAATAAATAAATATTCATGCCCAATTTGAGCTTAATTATATATATTTGGCAGAAAAATAGTGAAAGGCAACATACATAGAAAATTAGACATAATAAATAGGGGTGGAAAAGGTTACTTAACTCTAAACTCGAAGAGATTTAGGGTGGAGCCCCTATTTATGATTATATTTAGACATAACAAAGAAAACATTCGAAATAATTGAAGATGAAACAAAAATATAACGTCGATCAGCTTCCAATAACCAGTGACCTAGAGATTTTAATCAAATATATTGGTAGTCTAGCTTTTGCTGCCGTTGAAGCAGCGCCAATACGTAGTGAATGACCCTAATAAAGAGAACTCTAAGTTTGCTATTACTTTTCTTACACGTTTCACAAATTCTGTTTGAGTTAGAGCACGTTCAGTCGGCATAGCACGCAATGGAGATGAGCTTGATGATAGATGACCAAATAGTTTCCATCTGTGTTTAAGAGATGTATGAAGATGATTTATTTGGCATAAGTAATTATTTGTACTGTAATATCGAATATAAACGCCACAATTACATCGATCGGTTTTGGATCGTTTCAGAAGACATGTAGTCGAATTACGATTTAAATCAATACCAGAAAATGTCAAGTGGCGTGAAGCGTCAAATTTGTTGACTGTAAATTCACCAGGACGTAGAAAGTCATAGAAAACGCAGCATCAAGAAGCACGTAGTAGTGAATTCCAATAAGCACTGAAAAACGATCCATTTCATTTATGGCAGATGCGCGATAAAAGCTTATTGCAAATCTGTAGACGATGATGCTGTGATCATGAATGGAATTTCTCGGTTGTTTTAGTAAAGTGTGAACATAAAAGTTGCACGTGCTATTTGAATGAAGTCATGGATCACTACGACCTATCATCAGACAATAATATCGTATAGAAGCAAGACATGAACGAATGGAGCTTGAACAAATATGTAACACTCGAATACAATAACTGATGAAGTATTGAATAGTTTGTTTATCAAAACATTGATGTAAAGAACGTTTAATTTTGCTAAAAAACAAAAATTATTGAAAGACCCGAAAACCAATTGCATAAGAACGTTCTGTAGAAGAAGCAAGAGATAATAGTCAATAGTGTCGAGTCAATTTTTTAATAAAATTACCCAGGTCAATGATTCCGGAGGACGGATACTGTAGGAACCGGCCGGAAAGATGCGGAAAAATCACCGTATCTGGCCGGAAAGCATGGGAAAGCACTGGAAACTGGAAGCAGTATTCCAGTTGGAAGTTACCGGATTTTTTTCCTGTGGATTCCGGTCAGTTTCCTGTGTTTTCCGGTCAGTTTTCTGTGTTTTACATCTGGAAGTTGATCGGAATCTACAGGAAGAAAATCCGGTAACTTCCAACTGGAATACTGCTTCCAGTTTCCAGCGCTTTCCTGTGCTTTCCGGCCGTTTCCCGCCGTACGTCCACGACCTGGGTAAACGAACTAGAAGAATACAACGAAAATTGAAAGCGCTTGGTGCAGACTGTCACAGGTCCTAAATAGATATATAGAAATCAATAAAAAAACATGTATTAATAAATCAGAAAAAATTAGGATAAATAAGTTCTACTAGGTTCGGAATCTGACATGGAAATGTATCTGCCCAAGGAGCGAGATGATGAACGCGAGCCCATTGTTGACGAGAAATCGCATCTGCAATGTCATTTGTTGCACCGGCAATGTGTAATGCCATTAAATGAAAATTGTATTTAAGTGGACGTAGAGTAAGCCTTCTAATAAACATCATGATAATAGAATCAGCAGACCTTCGTTTATTCAATATATAAACTAGAGCTTCGTTATCACAATGAAATATAGTACGACGACGAGACCAATTAGCACCCCACAAAACAGCTGAAATTACTGTAGGCATTAATTCAAGAAGAGTAGAATTTCGTTTGTGATGAGCTAATCCAATAAAATCATCGTCGCAAATACCACTAAATCATTTGGATCCAAATATTCCACCATAACCGTAACTGCCAGCTACATCAGTAAATAAACAAAGATCAACATTTGTAATTGGAGAAGATTCAAGAAATAAAGAACGATCGTTCCAATGAATAAGGAATTCTTCCCACATTGATAAATCAATACGAGCTTCTTTACCCAAGCGTATATCATAGTGCGGTTCGTCGACAGAACATGATACTTGAAAAAGATAGGGCAAAAGAAACTCCTACCATGAATAGTTATACGTGTGGCAAAATTAAAATGATCTATAAGTTGTAAAAGTTCTCGTTTAGTGCATCGCTTCTTCCTAGATAATTGATGAATAAGGTTGCACATTCGATTGATTTTATCAACAGGAATCCGGGCTTCAAAAACATCAGTATCTAGAATAATCCCCAAGTATTCGAGACTAGCAACAGGACCGATAGTCTTGGAAGGTGATAAAAGAATGTTCAACTTCTTGAAAGCCATTGTAATAATAGCCATAGTGCGAAGACTTTCTTGTTCAGAACAGTCAACAGTAAGAAAAACATCGAGCAGATGTTGGCAGTATTGCATATGGCATTTGTTCAACAGAGTCCATTCTACAGCCTGTGACAAACAATCGAAAATACGAGGCGAACTACGTCCACCAAAAGGAAGTCCAACAAAGAAATAAAGTTGATCATTCCAATGACAACCGTAGGAAGGAACAAGAGATGGTGAAATAGGTAGTAGCTTAAAAGCTGAAGCTATATCACATTTGCATAAGAAAGCCTTAGAACCAGTTTTAAGAACAGCATGAATAGCTTGATCAATAGTAGAGTAAGTCGTAGAACATTCGTCTTTATCAATTAAGTCGTTAATAGAAGAAGTATTGTTTTCGTCATGTGGCCAGGATAGATCTAAAATCAAGCGAGGTTTACCGCTATATTTGCCAAAGACTGATTCTAATGGTGGTAATCGAAATATTGGAAAAGGTGATGAATTGAATCGCCCTAATAAGAATCCATTATCGACTTCCTCCTGTGTAACCTTGGTAACAACGGTGTGCCGTAGAAAGACCGAAAGGAAAAATGTCGAAAGGGAAAAATATAGAAAGGAAAAATATAGAAAATGACGAAAGGAAAAATGTCGAAAGAAAAATGTCGAAGGAAAAATATCGAAAGAAAAAATATCGAAAGGGAAAAATATCGAAAATTTGCACTAAGATGTTTTTATTCTTGAAATCATAATAGCATCATAGCATAGATCATAGATAAATAAGAGTTATAAAGAAAAATACACATATCCAATATTTACTAGTTGTTGCTGTTGTATTCAGTTTGAAAATATATTTATCTGATACAAGGAAAGGCTTTCCTTTTTACGACTGAATAAATGAAATAACTGGAGTTGGCGGATGATTCTCACCAGATAAAAATGAGCAAGCTGTAGTCATCATGATAAAATTTTAATCGTTGTATACTATTTTACGCCTATTTTAGCTAGTTTTCATAAGATATTACTTATCAATAGTATCAAGGGTTATCATTGTCAAACCAATGGAATAATCAGATCAACAACAATGAACAACAAACTATTAGAACCTTCATTTAGTAGACGTCGCTTTTTTTATCTTTTCTGTTTTCGACATTTTTCCTTTTCGATATTTTTTCTTTCGACATTTTTCCTTTTCGACATTTTTCTCTTCGACATTTATCCATTCGACATTTTCCCTTTCGATATTTTTCTTTCGGTGTTTTTCTTTCGGTATTTTTCCTTTCGATATTTTTCCTTTCGGCCTTTCTACGGCCAACCGTAACAACAGCAGGAATTTTTCTTGCAGAACGCAGATTTTGTTCTTGAAGAGTACCACTAGGCAACTTTTGAAGTCCTGTATGAAAACCTGTGCGGAGACCAGATAGTAAATACTTAACGAATGAGCAGTTTGGCTGAAACTGTAATTCATTTCCTAAATGATCAATGTTGATTGAAGTAGATGATTTCAAAATAGTAGCTTCAAGAAGAAAGAAATAGATTATTTAACGTGTATATCTATATAATTGAAGATATTGAAAAAGAAGTATATTTGAGAATTAATTATAATTAAATATCGAACAGAAAAGTATATCACGTATTATGAATTGGAACAACCGGTCAACAGTCTTTTTGTGGATGTGGTTGTTGGTATTTAAGGCGTACCTGTGTACATTGGGATACGTGATTGGTACAACCACGGTTACCGTTATAATTAAAACAAATTTCACGTTGATCAGCAGCCAATATTGGAGTATGCTTAATCGCTACCATACCATTGTACGGGAACATGAATCGCTCATTGATATAGCAGTAACATTGTTTTTTATATCCTCATGAAAAATAGATGGACAAAACTCAGTTGAATAATCGACTGATGAGCATTTATCGCAGGTACGACATGACGACCAGCAAAAACTTGAAAATAAAGATCTTTATCTCGAATACTCCAATTAATCTTTCCATATCGAGTTAAAATAATGGCAGCCGCTTTACGACTAAAATTCTTGTGATATTCATAAAATAAAGGAAGAGAAAATTGAACTCGCAGTTTAAGAATAGGTGATAAATAAAAATTGAGTTCAGCACGACGTTCAGGGTGTACTGCAGTCATAACATTCAAGTAGCGAATAGAAACTAAGATAAATTCAGGTAGCGATAAAGATTGATGAAGACATGGATCGGTAGATTTAAGGTAAATCGATGTGGAATCTTTTGTTCCATCTTGATATTGCGAGAGAGTGTTCTTCAGGTATCAATAAATGTGTCAAACAAACATATTTTCCTTCTTGAATAGCTTTTGTGTAACACGACCTGAGAGGAGTGTTGAAGTGTTTAGGGTAGAAATTTGCGGGGGGGGGGGGGGGGGGGGGGGGGGGGGGGGGGGGGGGGGGGG